TAGCCAATTATACCATTCAAAGTCTGAACGTTAAAGCTTCTCTCTAACGAAGTGACCCTCGAGCACTCGAACAGTTGTTATTCTCAAGAACATAATAAAGTTGATCCGATCGGTAGTCAGCAAAATACGACATAGCTGATCCATAGTCCGTCCTAGAGTCAAGGTACACTGGACCATAGAACTAGGAGATTACTCCGTGTTTCTCCAGTCATCCTTATTTTCCCAACATGGTCGTCCGCGCATGATTAATCGAACGTTCCAAGTTAGGCAAACGTTATCGGCGCAACAGCGGTGGCGAACAACGAGGAAGAGACAAAGAGCTGTGATTCGATCGAGAAGAGGTCTGTTCTAGCGGTGAGGTGGCCACGAAGCGGCAATAAGCCTATCGAAAACACGATCATCGAATTCCCACGCGCGTTAAATTATCACGTATTAAAACGGTTATCATGTAATATTATCTGGCCAAGCGTTCGAACATTCAGCAGAAATATTCGACAGCTCTGACCAATGATGGAGTTCTAATACGGCGTTCGCATTCATTAAGACTGCGCTAGACTCGATCGTAATGAAATTAATATAAAACCAGCGTAACGACTGCTTAAGGATATCGAGGCGAGTTGCACAGATAATTACTTGCGTATCGACGCCGATTATGGCTGGGGAGAGGCCGCTTTCCTAACAAATCTAAGCTCGACTTTTGGCGAGAGAGTCGCACGACTAAAGGTTCATGCGAGATTCCTTTCATAGTAGTTATAGTTGTTTCGATTTTCGTTGTCACGTTACAAGTGCAAGATTATGACCTGAAACTGAAGTTTTCAACGTCATTTCGAATCTGTGTCTCTTGTGCGAAACGATCGAACATGGATCGAACTTCGATGCAGTCGATTGAATTGAATTCGCTCGTTTGGGATCATAACGTCGAAGGTCTTGGTTTCGGAAGTTTTCACGACGAATATGCCGACAGAAGGTTGCAACTTTTTTGCACCAGCTATAGTATTATTTCACGGTGTTTTTGGTCGCTTTTTGCAACGCTCATAAATCGAAACGCGGCAAAAAGATTGCATATTCATGCTAACGTGCGATGATCGCTTCGCGCTCGTAAAAATGCCAGGTTCGTACTTTGGCTGAATACGCGCCATGCACGTGTCACGTCCGTTTACATTAAACCACCAGTTTATGAACTTTTTTACTTTCCTTTTTTGTTTCTGTTCGATCTGCAACATTAAAGAGTACACCGTGTGCAAAGGTGCAAGAAAAGACCATATTTGAACGAGAAAGGAAAAAACGACCTAATCCACCTTTCCACCGTGCAGGAAACGAAAGCTCGTTTCTTTTTCGCAAGGACAAAGTACGAATGGTTTTTCTCGTTCTCGGATCAGCTTCAGCCTCGACTCGTGGATGTTTCCTCGGGAGGAAAGTAGGCGTGTGTCGCTCGTCTACGATAGGTGGGATCACCGCGACGGGACGGCAATGAGCTTAACAATGGCATTGCGGTACTGCTCGAATTTAATTTGAAAGCAGCGAAGGCCCATTGTACGTGTACACACAAACGGACGTATAAATAGACGCGGTCGGTGCGCGTGCCCACGCAACAACAGCTTTATGCCACCGAACATCCCCGTCTCCATCTTCCTCTCCCTTTCTTTCGCACTCTCTCTCTCTCTCTTTCTCTCTCTCTCTTTCTCTCTCACTACTTGTACCGAATCGAATTTACATTTACAACCGCGTGCGCGCGTCTTCTAGAATAAGAACGTATAAATTCTCGTTAAATGCGATTCTCCGAGACTTCGTTCTGTCGCCTCGGTTTCATCTGGACACTCGCGTCGCGAATTTAACAGTACCTAAATACTGCCAGCGTAGACGTATCTCGTATGGCGACAGTTTTTCTTTATTTCCATACCTAAGATGAGAAGATTAATTATATCTCCTTGCTGATATTTACGTATTTACGCGATTAAAGCAATACTTAATGGAAGAAGGAAACTTTTACTTGGATGGCATTAAGTTAATTACATCGATGAAAACATGAATGCGCATAGACATTCGCGATCTAATAATAATGCTATCTTTTTCGTGCTTGTAAATTAAAGTTGTTTATTACGTTTAATGTGCAAGGGAACTCAATAAGTTAGGAGATTAGAAGCGTTTTACGACAGCTTTCGAGATAACGGATAATAACGTAACACGATGACAAGCGGGGCGGGAGGGGGACACGAAAGATGCCACGAGGAGACGGCGTTGTCGTTCAGGAACCGTTTTATTGCCGTTTGCGCCAGTCCAGAGGCGAGGACATTGTTCGAACCTCTGGGAGTCTCTCATGATTGTCGTGCTTTTTCCATTCTCGTAATAGTGGTCGTATTCAAATAACGTCGGTACACGTTTACGCATCGCGATCGTTGGGCAATCGGAAAAAAAAGAAAAAGAGGAAGCGACCTGCAGTCGTTCGTGCAACTTCGCTCCACTTGACACCGACGTGCCACATTCGATTCTCTCGAATCGCCTTTCTTCTCGTTACGCGGCTGCATATTCTTCCAAAAACGTAACATCCACAAATTTATCACTCGCAATGTTCGCAGTTGTTCGTATCGTTTGCTCGCGAGATAGTTTGGTCCATCGAACGGAGTCGTAGAAATTTTCGTAGCTTTCGGACGACGCGAAGAATGTACCCAACTCGATACAGAGCGAAAAAGGAGTCGCATTACAAACGCACAAACGAGGAAAATTCTGAGAGCTAACCGTTATAGGCATCGCCGTCCCTCATTGGATCGCGATAAATCTGGTGTAGTTCGATTCGCATCGTCGTCGATCCCGATGTTATCGATCAGCAGAGCGTTAATCGTACGAAACGTCCATGCAAATTACAGAGCGAAGCTGCTGGAAAAAAATCGAACAACAGTCGCCTGTGAGTTATTACGCAGACAGAGGAGACGCGGTCGCGAGGAATCGTTAATGGCACTTGGCGAGGATCGAACGGCGCGGTGGCGGGAACGGCGTAACCGGTTGAAAAGAAAGAAAATAATGGAACAGTGAGTGTGAGCGAGAGAGAAGAGGGGAAGGAAGGCCGATGCTATTGGTTTCACGCGACCGTTAACGGTCTTGTCGGTCTATTTCGATCGCGGCGTGGCTCCTACAACAAAAATTGAAGCGCCTCGCCGCTGGTTTACCTGTTATCAATTAACTGTTAACGTTGCTGCACGTTCGGAACCGTAAGCGCTGCGTGCACTATCGTACCCGGCCTTTTCTCTATGAATAATGTATCTCGGTTCGGGGAATTCGTGGCATTTAATCATTGAATCGTTAAGAGACGGACGACCGACTTGCAAAGATTTATGCGATACCCACGAATATTCCTGCACCGTCATGAGAATCTTCTGTCGTGCCTGATGGCCTCCTTCGATTCGGAGCAGGCGACACGCGTTGAATGTCGCGCCGCTTCGCCCGTACTCTCTGACGATGTTATCGATTCTTAAAAAATGCTCGTTAAACGATCGTAATATCTTGAATTCCGGCAAACGCTATGTTGCGTAAATTTTATATTAGTTCGCAAAGTTCTATTCGTATTATGTGTTCAAATATGTTAATAGCCACGGTGGACGATAAACGAGAGAGAAAAGAGCCGCGGTGTTACAGGGCGAGGATTCCCCTGATAATACACAATAAAATAAATGAACAGGTCGTAGCATAAATGATGCGGAAGGTTCGTTGCAAATGTTTATTACCTTGCAGCAGCTGTTAGCTTCGATACACGTGCGGTTAATGGCGCCGTATTTATGAAGGGAATGAAAAAAGATATGATCGGTAAATAGGCACGTTTTGAATTGGAAAATAGCTGTCGTAATAGCGTAATAGTTAGACGGGATAATTATTTCGACAATCGTACAACCGGAGCAACTTTTCAATCGAAACATGCTATCGCGCGTTACAGGTAGCCAAGATTATGTAACGACTCTTTATACGTGTCAAAAGTTTCCTGTTTATTGACTCAGAAGTTGTTACACTTACCCGTAAACTATATTAGATTATTCACCATGTTGCGCAACTATTCGCGCGATATTTTTGAAAAGTAAACAATAATATGATTCTCAAACCGGTTACTACTAAATCGTCCTCCAGGAATAAACGATTTTTCAAAGTTTCGCGTAAATCGAGCGTCTAACCGCTCACATCGCGCCAAGTTATCTCGTGGCAGTCGCGATCCTGCGAATGGGCGCAGCCCCTCGCCAGTCCGGAGGCGCGTAAATTTATGAACGAGGAAACGGCAAGGATCGCGGCGGGAACATAGCTTTTGCGATGTGTCTCGTTGGTTGAGCGGCAGAACGAACCGTTCGGTGATATAAGGACGAGCGTGGGCGACGCTTACTTTTCAAGCGGAATCGCAAACGCGACTTCGAAACTGGTTCCAAGCGAATTAGACGGCCGCGGGAGACTCGCCGAGTGAAACGCCGCGTCGTCGCTCGTGCGTTACGGAAAACGATCTATGGATCTATTTGTTACACGGATCATTTTTCATCGTGCCACTATGTCCGATGATGAACGGCCGATTTTTTACGCGGCGTCACACGATACGAACCTATCGCCTCCTAGGATTTAAGTGGCGAGTCTATTTAATTTGTTGCCGCCTTGAGATTTGTATCCGTAGGATAGAATTTCGCGAAGGTAGAAAATTCCATTTCCTACTTGATCTCCGAAAGATATATCTTTGAGAAGTGAATATTCGTCGTTTTGTACGTAACGATACCAGAGAAAGGAGCCGCAGGAGTACGAATCGAGATTTTAGATACGGCGAGATGGTCGGTAGCGGGTTAAGGAAGGAAACGTCTCAATCGATTTCAGGTTGACGCGTTTTCTTTTTTCGTGATCTTTGCTCGTTTCACGCGACAGACGCTTCGAGGAATCGAACGCGATCGAGTGACTTCATAAATATTCAGAGGCGCCAGCCGAGCTAAGCCTCGCCACGGGAAGGGAACGAGATCGGGTCGAAGAAGAACAAATAGGTTTACCTTATGCGTCATTCCATGACCTTGAAGCCGGGGGTAGTAGTTGGCTGCACTTCCGGTGAACGGTTTCTCACTTTCCCCACTTGTTTCGTTGCGATTTTTCCCCCGTTCGATCAAACTCGTTTTCCTTTTTTCCCCCTTGATCGCGCGTTCGTAACAGTTCGACGAGTTCACCACAGCTCCACGCGAGAGAAAGAGAAGATAGAGTCAGTCAGTCGAGGGAGGAAGAGAAGAAGAGGTAGAAGAAAGCGAAGAGGAAAAATAGGAGGCACTCCGGTTTCAACAACGGCACACTATCCTCACACTCGAGCACTCTTCTTCTTCTTCGTTCATCGATCATCCGCGGATCGCTATTCTACGAGTATCCAGATCGAAACGTCCGATCGAACATCCTGACGGTGATTGCGAGGCTCCGCGACGGGAATCTGTGTTCCAAGAGCGTGCCTCGTGGCGGCGCGGCGGCGACCACGTGTTCGAGCGACAGATAGCGACGCGCTTCCCTCGCTTTCGGTGCGTGTCACGCGACAAACGCTGTTCCAGCGGATCGTTTCTAGGTCATCCGGATCACCGAATCGACGTGGAACGGGATAATTATCCTAGAACTGTGTGTCCTGTTTCCGTGCTTTTGACTAGAGATAGTCCTCCTTGCGAAACTGTCGTCACTCGAACGGATGAAACGATCTAGGGCCACGCGACGACCAATCTTCACGGATGCACCTACGATCGTGTAATCGATGGATGTTGCACGCGCGACCGTCGTGTATCCTGTCCGGTCGGTGACGGTGACGGTGGC